AGTTGTTTTTCTGGGGTTTAATCTTGTTCCTTCATCTGGTAGAATGTCCTCTGCCTTTTCATTTTGTCTATCTTTCTGTGAATGTGGTTTTCGTTCCACAGGCTGCAGAATTGTAGTTCTTCTTGCTTCTGCTGTCTGCCCTCTGGTGGGTGAGGCTATCTAAGAGGCTTGTGCAAGCTTCCTCATGGGAGGGACTGGTGGTGGGTAGAGCTGGGTGTTGCTCTGGTGGGCAGAGCTCAGTAAAACTTTAATCTGCTTGTCTGCTGATGGGTGGGGCTGGGTTCCCTCCCTGTTGGTTGTTTGGCCTGAGGTGACCCAGCACTGGAGCCTACCCGGCTCTTTGGCTGGGCTAATGGCGGACTCAGGGAGGGCTCACACCAAGGAGTACTTCCCAGAATTTCTGCTGCCAGTGTCCTTGTCCCCATAGTGAGCTACAGCCACTCCCCACCTCTGCAGGAGACCCTCCAACACTAGCAGGTAGGTCTGGTTCAGTCTCCCCCAGGTTCACTGCTCCTTCCCCTGGGTCCCGATGCACACAGTACTTTGTGTGTGCCCTCCAAGAGTGGACTCTCTGTTTCCCCCAGTCCTGTCGAAGTCCTGCAATCAAATCCCGCTAGCCTTCAATGTCTGATTCTCTAGGAATTCCTCCTCCCGTTGCTGGACCCCCAGGTTGGGAAGCTTGACGTGGGGCTCAGAACCTTCACTCCAGTGGATGGACTTCTGTGGTATATAAGTGTTCTCCAGTTTGTGAGTCACCCACCCAGCAGTTTTAGGATTTTCTTGTGATTGCGCCCCTTGTACCATCTCACTGCAGCTTCTCCTGTGCCTTTGGATGTTGCATATCTTTTTTGGTGAGTTCCAGTGTCTTCCTTTTGATGATTGTTCAGCAGTTAGTTGTGATTCCGGTGCTCTCGCAAGAGGGAGTGAGGGCACATCCTTCTACTCCGTCATCTTGAACCAATCTCCAACTCACCCCTTTTTCATTACTGAGTAGTATTTCAGTGTATGGATGTACCACAATTTGTTTATCCATTTATCTGTTGATAGACATTTGAGTTGCCTTCAGTTTTTGGCTATTATAAATACAGCAGCTAGGAACCTTTGTATAAACATAGGCTTTCATTTCTCTTGGGTAAATAAAACACCTAGGAGTAGAATGATGGTTAAGTACATGTTTAACTTTTTAAGAAACCACCGAAACGTTTTCCGAAGTGGCTGTAGCATTTTACATTCCCAACAGCAGTGGATGAGACCTTCAGTTGCTCTGTATTCTCACCAATCCTTGGTATGGCCAGTCTTTTTAACAGACATTCTAACAGGGGTGTAGTGGTATTCACTGTGGTTTTAATTTGCCTCTTAATGATGCTGAGTTTCTTTTCATGGGCTCATTTGCCATTCATGTATCTTCTTAGTGAAGTGTCTATTAAAACCTTTTTGCCCATTTATAAAATTTGGTTGTTTGTTTTCAAGGAGTCTTTATATATTCCAGATACAAGTCCTTTATCAGATCTGTGATTTGCAAATATTTTCCCACAGTCCATGACTTGTCTTTTCATTAAGAGCTCATTATTTTAAAGTTAAAAAAAGTATTTCAAAATAGAAGTTTTGTAAGACAGTCTATTAAAATCAAATCACTGGAAAAGTCTAAAACATTTTTCTGAAAGCATATCAAAAGGCACTTTTTAATGTAGACATAGAGAATGGACTTGAAGACACGGGGTGGGAGGGGGAAGCTGGGGCAAAGTGAGAGTAGCATTGACATATATACACCACCGAATGTAAAATAGCTAGTGGGAAGCAGCTGCATAGCACAGGGAGATCAGCTGAGTGCTTTGCGATTGCCTAGAGGGGTGGGATAGGGAGGGTGGGAGGGAGGATATGGGGACCTATGTATGCATATGGCTGATTCACTTCGGTGTACAACAGAAACTAACACAGTATTGTGAAGCAATTGTACTCCAATAAAGATCTATTAACAAAAAAAGGCACTTTTTAATAAACAAGGTCTAACAAGACCACCTCCAACCCTGGGGTGCCTGAGGGCTGAGAGCAGGTGTGGCAGCACTCTCTCCCAGCCCCTCTGGTCCCCTTTCCTGAGGGGTCTGCCCGTGAGTGCCGGGGCCGTGGTGCAGATGCAGACCCACAGAAGTTGGGATGGGCCTTGTCAGTCATCTAGGAGAAGCGGGTTCCAAGGGCAGGGTGGAGTTTGGTGGAGGAAGAGCTCCGTGCCTGGCCCTGCCCAAAGCAACATGCACTTGACCGTAGTGGAGGAAGTCCTCTTGGAAAGCTGCCCCCCTGCACTGTGAGAACAGCAGGCACTGAGAGGCAGCAGAGCAGTGGCTGCTGGTTTGGGAGGAGGTCTGCTGGGTCCAGGCGGGCTGCTCAGATGTGAATTCCTGTAGAGGAGGAGTTCTTAGGTTGGGTCCCCTCTGTGGTCCCCCGTATTATAGATTTGTGGACATAGTTCCATGTTGATAATATATGGACTTGCCCCAATATATTATGGGACACTGAAATCCAAATCACTAAAGAAAATGAGGTCAGCATATCATGTATTAGTTTCCTGCTGCTGCTGTAACAAATGATCACAAACTCAGTGGCTTAAAACAATTCACATTTATTATGTTATAGTTCTGTTGCTTAGAGGTCTGACAGGTGTCTCACTTGGCTAAAGTCAAAGCGTCGGCAGGGCTGGTCCCTTTCTGAGGCTTTAGGGGAGACTTTCCAGCTTCCAAAGGCTGCACACATTTCCTCAGCTTGGGTCCCTCCCTGTCTTCAAAGCCAGCAATGCTATGTCTCTCTATGACATTGCTGGGAAGATTTCTCCACTTTTAAGGGTAGTTGTGATTAGACTGGGCACATCCTGATAATCCAGGATAGTCTATCTTCACACCTAAAGGTCCTTGATTTCATCATGCCTACAACGTCCCTTTAGCCATAATTGCTAGCTTCCTTGTTTCATTAAGGGATGCAAAGTCTCTTTTGCATGTTCCCAGAATAGGGCATGGACATCTTGGGAGGCCATCACTGTGCCCTGAGAGGGGCACTGAGGGCTGCTGTGACCTGAGGTACAACAGCCTGGCCTATACAGTCAGGGTATCTGGCTCTACCTAGTTCATGATTCCATGTTTCCTAAGAGGCTTTTGCTTGTCTTACACTCTGCTAGTGTCAACTCACAGAGAAAGTGTGTCAGGGTAGCTAGGGGGAACCTACTGTATAGCACAGGGAGCTCAGCTTGGTGCTCCGTGATGACCTAGATGGGTGGGATGGGGTGGGGAGGGAGGTCCAAGAGGGAGGGGATACATGTATACATATAGCTGATTCGCTTCACTGTACAGCAGAAACTAACACAACATTGTAAAGCAATTATACTCTAATTAAAAGAAAAGAAAAAGTGTGTCAAGGTAGAAATAATACCATGACAGCGATGCATCAGTCATCATTATGAACAGTCCTGGAGACTGGGATATCTGAAGGCTGGCCGATTGATTGATTCCCCAATTCTTTACACAAAGGTTTTGAGATTGAATATATGCAATAAAATATAAATTAAAAATAAACAGGGCTTCCCTGGTGGCGCAGTGGTTGAGAGTCTGCCTGCCGATGCAGGGGACACGGGTTCGTGCCCCGGTCCGGGAAGATCCCACATGCCGCGGAGCGGCTGGGCCCGTGAGCCATGGCCGCTGGGCCTGCGCCTCCGGAGCCTGTGCTCCGCAACGGGAGAGGCCAAAACAGAGAGGGGCCCGGGAACAAAAAAAAAAAAAAAAAAAAAAAAATCAATCTGAGGACTTAAAAGGGTTATTACTTTGATCTTGAAAGCCAGTAACGAAATTCAAGATGTGCCATTAAGTCTGTAATTAAAAGAAACAACAACAACCAAACAAAAAAACCAACAGAAGTGAGAAGGGATTCCATGTTGCTTCAGTAAGCTGTCATGAGGTATGTATGTAAAGCTGAGAGAGGAGCCCCACCCTCCAGGATGCCGTGAGGAGATGCAAAGGAATGGAATGGGAAAAGCCCAATGCTAATAGTTGATAAGTAGAGATTTTAGTCTTTTCTACTTCTAGACACGTCCTTTAAAAAATCTTTTAAAAATTCTCTTCACCTTGGGTCTGTTAAACTGAGGTGACATCTATACTCCCTCCCTTAAATAATGTGTGTTGTCAGAGGACTGGGACCCCTGATTTGATACTGTCCCCATTAATATATTTATGTAAAGAGAAAGAACAAGAAAGCTGCTGTGTCTGCAGCAAATTTGTTTTGCCATTGCTTCCTCCAGGGTATCTCACTACAGACATGTAAGCATGTGTAAATAAGAATATTTAAATAAGCATTAGAAGATTGATGGCCATTATTATCATTGTTATTTAATGGGAACATTTCTGTCCTTTTCTACAGTTGCTTTGAAAATTAAGGTAACTGTTCAGGGACTTGTGAATACCTTTTCCTGATTATTAATCCTAGATGTCACTTTTAGAAATACAATTTTTAAATTGTTAAAATTTTTTTTGCAAATAAAAATTGGACCATAAGTCAGAATGTGACATACATTGAGCAGAACCTTAAAAAAAACACCTCTCATTTATGCATATTTGAGAATATTTATCAAACCTGAAAATGCATCATCAAGCCCAACATCAGTGCTTTGCTTCAGAGAGAATCAAATATGTCTACATTGTTTATATATGGAAAGAAGGTAATGAAAATTTGGGGCTAATAAGTATTTGTATTCACTAACAGGCGTTTAATTATTTGCAAAGCTGTTTGATGGTATTAAATTGTAGAAAAGCTGAAACATCGTTTTAATTTCTGCTCATCAGTTCTAAGTGCAATCAAACTAGGACCTGGTTCATAGCATCTCTTGATTCACCTATGGTACAAATTAGGTTAAGAGAATATTGGAATAAAGTATAGCTCACTGTTCTGATTTGTTCTTAGCATCCACACGTGGTTTCCATGGAAGTTTCCAGGTTAGTATTTTTACTGGTGTTTCTCCATAGATTGCAAAATTGGGAAATCTTCTAGAGTTAAAGGAAGACCACCGCAACAGACTCATTGAAGAAAATGACAAGTATCAAAGACATTTAGGCAACTTAATAAATAAGGTACAAATTTTCTTACATAAATATTTGTCTCTTTAAAATGGTGAAATATTAAAACGGTAGAATTTTGGTGCTGAAAAGGATCTGAGGGATGATGTAATACATTTGTATTGATGCCTTTAGAAGGTTTACACCATTATTTGCAAAGTGATAGTTTAACTATGATTTTCTCCCTAATATGAAAGAGTATGATCTGATGCCTGGCATATTACAGATGCTCAGTAATTGCTAGTTTAAACTGAATGCGAATCTTCTCTGAGTTGGTGAAAGAAACTGTGGAATATTTTTTTCTGGAATTATTTTACAATAAGAAACTTTGCTTCTAAATTCACACATTTTACTAGTTCAGATATTTGTTTACTTATACTTGGCCTATCTTCACAGTAGATTTGAGGCCCGTTTATATAGATTTAGAGTGGCCTTGAAGCAAAGGAGTGAGGTGGAGAGGAAGAGCTCTCAGGCCCTTTCTAGCTGAGAAGACCGTTTCTTAGAGAACTTCAGGCTTGAATCAGCCTTCAGCCCCGCACCATCCATGAGCCTCCCCTTGACCGATGGGCCTCAGTCAATTCAGCATGCAAACACTCTTTAGACCACCTCTGCATCGTCTCAGAATTCTGGTGCTGCTTTTGCCAGTTGTCTTCAGAAGTGGAAACAGTGAGAAATAAGGAGAGAAAAGTGAGCACTTTAATAGTCTCATGTCTTGTTTGGGCCTCTAGTTCCTTTTTTTTTTTGTCCTCTAGTTCTTTATCGCTTCAAGGAGATTCATTAGGTTTTCAAGTCATAGCCAGAATCTTATCCTAAGTAAATCTAGGAGAATGTTAAAACGTAACAAGGCTGAGGCTCAATATTTTTATTTAATTGCAGTTGAGAATGATCCATATTCTACATACTGAGAAGCTTTATCTTAATCTTTTAGGGTCTCTTAGTTCTATCGCAAATGACAATTTCTCTTTGAAAAGTGAGGAGGAGAAAACTTTAAATAATGGCATCCTTGTTCACTATGTTGCTATTTTAGTCCTCACCACCCCCCACTTGTTTGTTTGTTTGTTTCACATTATTCTCCTTCTGTTTCCTGCAGACTGAGAAGGCATCCGAAGCCCATGACTGTGGTAGATCATACTGATGATCATTATAAAGAATGCTGTATTACCATGTAATTGTCAAATTACACAAAATTAAAGATGAGTTCCTAAAGTTACGCTTCAGTCATGTTCAGCTTAGCTTTCCCCTCTGCCCTCAGATGAGGGCCTCTTTTGCCTCTGATTGTAGTTGGTTCTGTAATCGGGAGCCTTAATTTCATCCCCACAGCTCCTGCTTCATGTCAAGGCCTCATCGTTTTCATCTGACCTGTCACAGTCATCTCCTTACTCGTGGCTGTGCCTCCAGTTCTGCTCCACCCTCCACAGAGTAGACAGAGTGACTGTTCAGAAACAAAATCTGGTTATACTCCCCCGCTACATGAGACCCTTCAGTGCTTCCCAGTTGCATTCAGAATCAAATGCAACTCCTCAGCTGGCATCCAGGTCCTCTGTGGTCTAGCCCTTGCCTTCCTATACAGGCTTCTCGCTCACTGCTTCCTCCTTCTCATCATACACCCCAACCACATCTAACACTTGCAATGTTTTGCACGTGCCGTGTTACCTTTGTGCCTGCTGGCTACTGCCCGGGTAGCTCCCCCACCTGGAATGCTCGCTCTCAAGTCCTTTTCTCCCCGTTACTTCAGTCCCCGCCTCACAGACACCTGCCAGCTGGAGCTCCATCTGCTCCACGAAGCCTTTCCCACCCAGGTGGAGCTGACTTGCTTCCTCCCATGTGTCCTCATTGCACCCTCTGATAAAATAGCACCTATGGTATGTCATTACAGTTCTCTGCTTGCACGTCCCCTGACCTCACTAGAACTCTTCTAGTGCAGGAATTCTCATATTCATTTTGGCATGCCCCAAGCACCTATCCCATAATCGGTACTAAATAGGAGTCAAATATTAGACAGACTCGGGACCCAGGCCCAATGCTATCCTTGCTGGAGTAATTCCTAGTAGAAGATACACCTGCTGCTGCCCTGTCCCACGCCAGGCCATGGGTATGGGTTCATGAATACCATGGCCCATTTGTGACACAGCTTTGCAGAAGAGGGGGTACAGTCAAAGGGCCTGTCTCTATCTGTCCCACTGAGACCCAGCTGTTGTAATAGTTGAGTTATGAGGACTCCTTAACACTGCGAATTCTTAGTTATGCTGCGCTGCTGAGTCACTTCATGAATTGTTCAGATCCTTGCTTCTGGTCCTTCTTCTTCATTCTGCCGGCTGGCAACCAAACCAAGGAAGATGAAACTCAACCAACCTTGCTCCTTGTCATATTCCTTAATAGGAAAAAGGTTGAAACAAACAAAAATATTGATTAAAATATAGTATTAGTATTATCTGTGGAGTTTATCTGTAGGTTTTCCTTGTGCCCCTTTTCCATATGTAGTCGAGAACTCGCTGCTTATGGAATAGGAATTCCATATGTAATCAAGAGTCAGCTCTTCTGTCCCTGAATGTCTTTCCTGAAAACTGAAGAAACAATTTTTTCCTTCCATTTTTATATGCCAGATATCTTAGAAGGAAATAGAAATGATTTAGATTAAACAGGACTGAAGATTAACAATTAAACCATTTTTGTTAACCACTCCAGGAACAGAGTCATTACTAAGTATAGCACCCAGATCCGTCCATACAAGTGATACGTTAAAATCTGTATAAGTGGTGAAATTTTACATTCCAAAAAATGTGATTACTATTCTTCTAATTTCTTCCTGTGAACAATCAAACATATTCTAACATAACATAAACAAGCGAATGCAGTGGCTTCTTTTCCAAATATCTGTCAATTTTCATTCTCACAGAATACCACTCTTGTATTGCCAGGCCTTTAGTAACATATGAAAATTTCCTGTGTCTCACCCCAACTCTTTTTTCCTCTCTGGGCAGGCAGGCTCTTCCTACCATCAACCAAATTTAAAAAGACACTAACACTGAAATCCCTTGGAATTAAAACCCAGGTGAAAGGAGGTTTTGCCCTTATAACTTCCACCTTAACATAGTTTTGAGGAATTAGTTCTGAGTTTAAACAAAGGAACCAGAGATAGCTAATTTTGTAAGATGTATCAGAAAAATGAATGTACATAACATATTATCCTTTTGATAAATCCCAGAGCCAGGATGAAAGTATAATTATTGAATCAAGATATACCTTGAATGGAAGGGAAGAAATTATTCTATCTCACTTAAATTAGTCAGGTAAGTGCAAGAGGGAAATATTGGAGAATCTATATCTGGCCCCAAAGGAAGTGCTGAATAAGTAAAAGCTATTACTATTGATGTTATTTTTGTTGAGGAATTCTATAAGATACATTTTATTATGAATTTTGAAGCAAAATTTGTTAATTTCTCAAATTCAAAAAGTTGCGATACGGTTTAAGACAAACCATGAGAAATGCACAGTAAATTACAGCTATAATAGTGTTTCATTTGAAAAATTAAGCCCTGAGAGCTTTGGAAGTGATTCAGGTTTTAAAAAGAGACATTATTATTAGTTTCACGGAATTCTCTAGGGAAAGTTAAGATATGATAGGAGAAAGACAAACATTAAGATGGTTAATGCGGGGGGAATTCCCTGGTGTTCCAGTTGTTAAAAATCCACCGTCCAATGCAGGGGACGCGGGTTCGATCCCTGGTTGGGGAACTAAGATCCTACATGCCGCGGGGCAGCTAAGCCTACGCGCCACAACTAGAGAGAAGCCCGCGTACCACAACGAAGAGCCCGTGTCCCGCAACGAAGGATCCCACATACCGCAATGAAGATCCTGCGTGCTGCATCTAAGACCTGACACAGCCCCCACGCCAGAAAGAAACAAACAAAAAAGATGGATAGTGCAGCGTCTGGAATCTGCACACGAACATGGTGAAATCGTTGGACTGGAAGGATTAACACAGTTTGTCCACAAGCAGGGCTGTGTGCATAAGTGCTACATTTGCCATGTGCGCTATTAGACATTTATGATCTTTTACCTACAAGTTGTCTCACAGTGAACGTACCTCCTTTGGTGCACAGCTCAAGGATGCAGCATCTAAGTCAGTGCTTCTTGGAATAAACATTTAGTGACGTTCAATAAGCCACGTGACAGCCTCTGTGTTAGAGGCCAAAGGTACAACGAAAAACCAGGCAGAGATCACCAAGGACCATGTAATCTAGTGGGGGAGATAGATTAGTGACTCTTTCCTAGATTGGTGCATGGGTCTAACTGTCGGGGGTGCTCTAGAAGCATAGATGAAATGGCCCTGGACTAGGGGAGAAAACCTCAGGGCAGATTTTACAGAAATAATGACACCTGAGCCAGATCTTCATCACTGACTAGGTGTTCCCCAGGTAGATAGAAGGGGAAGCTCTTCCCACACAGCACAGAGGCCTGAGGTATCCTGTGATACTCTCTGAACCACAAGTAAAATCTAAAACCCATGTTCTTCATATGGCAGGAGATGAAGGTGATCGTGAATTGTCTCATGTGCTTTGTGAAGAAGTGCCAACTTTGTCCTGAGAAGCTCTGAAGGCTTTTAAGTGGAGGAATGATGGGGTCCATTATGCATTTTGAGGGAATTCCCTGGCAGTCCAGTGGTTAGGATTCCAAGTTTTCACTGCCGGGGACCTGGGTTCCATCCCTGGTCAGAGAACTGAGATCCTGCAAGCCACGTGGCCAAAAAAAAATTATGGGACTTCCCTGGTAGCGCAGTGGTTGAGAATCTGCCTGCCAATGCAGGGGACACGGGTTCGAGCCCTGGTCCGGGAAGATCCCACATGCCGCGGAGCAACTAAGCCTGTGTGCCACAACTACTGAGTCCGTGTGTCACAACTGCTGAAGCCCGCGCACCTAGAGTCCGTGCTCCACAACGAGAAGCCACCACAATGAGAAGCCCACACACCACAACGAAGAGTAGACCCCGCTCACCGCAACTAGAGAAAGCCAGCGTGCAGCAATGAAGACCCAACGCGGCCAAAATAAATAAATAAATTTTAAAAAAGTATGCGTCTTGAAAGATCACCCTAATAGTGATATAAAGGGTAGGTTGATGGTGGGTGATGCTAGAATCAAAAGTACCAGATAAGATACTACTACAGTGCTCCGTGCAAGAAAAACCAAGGCCAGAAACTAAAATAGTGACAGAGGAAATAATGAGGAAGTTATGGATGCACAGTGATTTCAGAGGCAAAGTGAAAAGGACAGGTAACTGTTAGCTATGGGAGTGAAGGGCAAGGAGTCTGGGAGTGAAGGGGGAGGGGTCTAGGAAGCCTGGCACGGGTCTGGGTGGTCGTCTTCACGGAGGTAGAGAACACAGGAGGGACCACTAGTTTGCGGGAAAGATAGGATGAGGATGAGGTTGCTGTGAAACACCTGGGACATATTTAATAAGCAGTTAAATATATGCTGAGAAGGATCCAGTGGTCAGGGAGGTTCTGAAGACAAGGAGGAGAGAAGGGTCATTGATGACTGAGGTCTCAGAGGCAGAAAGAGGGCCTCGGGTCCCCAGAAGCGTAGGCTCAGACACCCCTCCCTCTGAGACTGGAGGTTAGGAAGGCAGCTCTGAGCTGTGCACGGTGTTGGAGACCCCGGCGGAAAGCTTGGCCCTCTTCCTGCAGGAGGAGGCTGGCATGGCGGGAGAGGCGAGGGTCTGAAATAGCTGCAGCCCCTGCTCTCAGGGAGCAGAGCATGGGCTCTTGCCACGGGGTACTAGGAGGAGGTGCAGTTTCCTCTCCACCTCACCGTTCCTCTATTTTTATCCACTTTCTTCTCCTCCCACCTTGTTCCTTGTTTCCCTGACTGTGACCCATTGCATCTTTTTGAGGACTTGCTCCGTTGATCATTCTTACTCTCTCACACCTTTAATTTACAACTCTTTGTTGAATTCTTACCCTAGCCTTAAAAAAATCCTTCCTGCAACCCTCTTTTCCTCTAAAGCTATCATGTCTTATCTTAACCAAGTCTTTATTGAATTTGTTACAATATCACTTCTGTTTTAAGTTTTGGTTTTATGGCCCGGAGTCTTGTGGGATCTTAGCTCCCCGACCAGGGATCCAACCGGCACCCACTGCACTGGAAGGTGAGTCCCAACCACTGGACCACCAGGGAAGTCCTGTGATTCATAGTGTTTCTGATAAATATTTTTCAATATTGCCGGTCTCAACTTGCTGCTCTCATTTTTAAAGGCTGCGTGATATTTCATTATATATAATTGAAATAACTTATTGAATTATATTTTGTGGACAGGGTTTCCAGTTCTTACTGGTAGCCCAGAAGTCACTGCCTTACATGCTTTGGCCCCAAGTTAGGTGCATTTGCCTTTGCCCACGTGGTTTCCTTGTCCTAGAATGCCCTTTCCTGCCCCAACTAAACTCTCTTCTCCACCTCCACCACCCAGCTCCTCATATTTGAAACATGTGCATCTTTCAAGGCTTAATTGAAATGTCACCTTCATCCTTATCTGAAAGTAATACGTATCTCCTCTATCTGTGACTTTCTAAGGGTTCTTAGCACGTTCTTCCCTAAATTATAGCTCGTGGGTGATATCAGGCCACAGCACAAAGAGCACTCGACACGGAATCGTAAGACTTAGGTTCCAGGGCTTCCCTGGTGGTTCAGTGGTTGAGTCCACCTGCCAAAGCAGGGGACACGGGTGTGAACCCTGGTCCGGGAAGATCCCACATGCCACGGAGCGACTGGGACTATGCACCACAACAACAGAGCCTGTGCTGTAGAGCCCGCGCGCCACAACTACTGAGTCTGCATGCTACAACTACTGAAGCCCATGTGCCACAACTACTGAAGCCCATGTGCCACAACTACTGAAGCCCGTGTGCCTAGACCCCGTGCTCTGCAACAGAAGCGACTGCAATGAAAAGCCCGCGCACCGCAACGAAGAGTAGCCCCCGCTCCCCGCAACTAGAGAAAGCCCACGCTCAGCAACGAAGACCCAACGCAGCCAAAAATAAAATTAAAAAAAAAAATGACTTAGTTTCCAGGCTCCTCCATGCTAGCTGCTGTGAGAACTGAGTTCACTGTCACAGCATTTTAAGAAGAATTACAGGACTGCGCTTATATCAATGTCAAAATGTCAGTATTTTGTACATTATGTCTGTAGTTAAAAGACTGTAACATTTGCCTGTGTAAATATAACTCTTGGGACGAGTGAGTGAGAGGTAAGCTGTGAAACTGGACAGGGGTCTTCCCGTATTTCGGAAGCGCAAGCTTGCAACAGCAACTAGAATACACGTTTAAGAAATCCTAGCGAGCACCCTATGGTGGAAACTCGACGGTTCTGTAGCACAGTTGGGGATTCCTATAGGGCCAAGGTCAAATATGTTACAAGAAGAGAATTTTCAAGATTTCACAGCACAGCTACCCCGCTGATGGGTTCTGCTTCAGTTTGGACTCGAGGAATTGAACATCCCTAATCGAAGACCCTGGTGCTGGAAGAATAGTGTTTCGGGAAACTCCGTTTTCTCCCTCCTGTGTCCCTACTCTCACTCCCCGACCACATTCACAGCGCCTCTGACGCGGGAGCGCGCTGGGTCCCCACACGCTGTTCTCTACGACACCAGCTGGGGGTCCCACGATTTAACTCGGTCCGGACGCTACCTGAAGGTAGCACCAGATCCCACAAGACCGCTCCCACCCACTTCAGCAAGTCCTGGTTGTCACCTGTGCCTCTAATCGATCAGCTGTAAATCAGAGGCTCCCATGACCCCTTCCTCCGAGTCCATTAATTTGCTAGAGCAGCTCACAGAGCTCAGGGAAACACAGACATTTAACAGTTTATTAAAGGATACAGATGAACAGCCAGATAAAGGGAGACATAAGGCGAGGTCTGGGAGGGTCCTGAGGACAGGATCTTCTGTCCCCCTGGAGTTGGGGTGTGTCCCCCTTCCAGTACTTGGATTCTGTTCACCAACCTAGAAGCCCCCTGAATCCTGTACTTTGAGAATTTCTACGGAGGCTTCCTGACATCATCATGATTAAGCATTAACTTCATTTCCAGCCTCTCTACCCTCTCTGGAGAATGGAGGGTGGGGATGAAATTTCCTTCCGGTGAGGTGGAAGGAAAACCAGGAGAGTATGTTGTCCTCCAGCCTCCAGAAACAGGTGTTAAAAAAGGGGGTGGAGGGACTTCCCTGGTGGTCCAGGGGATAAGGCTCCACGCTCCCAATTCGGGGGGCTCAGGTTCGATCTGTGGTCGGGGAATTAGATCTCGCATGCACACCGCAACTAAGATCCTGCATGCTGCAACTAAGACCCGATGCAGCCAAAATAAATAAATATTAAAAAAAAAAAAACTTTTAAAAGTGGGGAGGGAGGCTCAGATGAGGACTTTCCGATTCAGCAAGATGAGATATGTTAGTGCAGTGGTGAAAATAACAGCCCAGTGGAATAAGTGGAGAAGAAAATCGAGAGGTGAGATAGGGAAGTTTTACCGTGTCTGAGGCAGACAAGCGAGGCTGTTGCTGAGGGTACCAGCGGCCACGGAGAATTTTTTTTTTTTTTTTTTACTTTTTGGCCGCACCGCCAAGCATGTGCGATCTTAGTTCCCCAAACAGAAATTGAACCCACGCCCCCTGCAGTGGGAGCGCTGAGTCTTAACTGCTGGACCGCCAGGGAAGTCCCAGAATTTTGTTTTTTAAGATGGGCAATATTATAGTATATTTGTATGTGGACGGGAGCGATGAATCGGAGAAGTAGAAATTCATATGAGGTAGAGGAGAGATGGCTATTTTCAAAATCACACGGTTTTGAGCAGGAGATGAGATCCAAACCACAAATGATGGCTGACCTTTGATAGGCCCATATAAGTTTTTTCTTGGAACGGAAAGGAGGGCAGAGCATGAGTGTACAGTTGGAGGAAAGCAGTGAATGTGATTTTGTCTGTTCTTTTCCAGGAGCTGAGCAAGGGTGGGCAGGGGAGTCTGTGAGTTGTGAAGGAAGAGGACCAGGTTGGGGACAGTCTCCCCCCCCCCCATAGTATTCCTTTTACATAAAGATCACAAAAGAATTTTTTTCTTTCGGAAGTACAAAAACCATAACTCTTTTTTTAGCCCTTGCTAGGTGAAAGAACACAGAAGTCTTTGCTGGCATATAATAAACACAACTTTTTTTTTTTTGCTTGACAGTTTTTCATTTCTTATTAGGTCTACAAATGAAGTTAGACTGCAAATTTGTGGGGAAAGATGTAACTTATAACAAATTCAACATATTCTGAGTTACCACTGGTGTCAGGCGCTGTTCTATAACATTGACTAAAGGCACAAAGATCCCTGAAGTGTGACAGACAGGAGATGTAATAAACTATATATTGTGTTAGAAGATAAAAAGTGCTATAAAAAAGAGAATAGAGAGTACAAGGGAGGGGCTGGGGGTTGTAATTTTAAACTGGGAGTGAGGGTGAGCCTCATTGAGGAGGTGACTGTTGAGCAAGGTTTTAAGGACATGAGGAAGTTCCGTATCTACTGGGTTACCTGGGGGAACACCCAGAACAAAAACTGGGGCTTAATAGACACATTTGCTAATGATGCTGAGGGAAACCTTGAGAAATTCAAGGAAAGAAAGCTCTGCTCTTACAAATTCCAAGGAAGTAAAATGACAGAAGTGGAGAATCAAGTGTGGGTTTGCCTGAGCTGTAAGAATGAGAATAACTGGGATGTAGTATATTTCTGGAAAACACAGATCTACAAGGAGATAAATGCAGAGGTGAGAGAGAAAAAAACATGGAGAGGGGCAGCAAGGGGGAGAGCTCTCGGTGGGCACCCAGGGAACGCTGCTCATTACAGGGAGAATGGAGATCACAGTAGTGCAGAGTGGGCACCAAGACCAGGGCAAGGGTTTTACTTCCCTGGGCTACCGCTTTTGATTTTTGTACTAATTGGACAGTCACACAGGTCTCTCTCTGTTTTCTGTTTGTACGTTTTCATTTTCACATCAGTCCCGTCCTGAGCAGGCACACTTTGTTCCTGTTGCCCCTTTAGTGGCTGGCTGTCTAAAATTCAAGTCCCAAATAAAATCTATTAGTAATCATTTAATAATAAAACTGGAATGGAAGTCCCAGTTTAAGCCTAAACTGGATTATCCTCATATGTTCAGGCTCTATCTAAACATGTTCTGAGAACTGAAGAGACAGGCCTACTAGGAATCTCTTTAACATAAGGAATGAGGATCTTCTCTGCCAGAAACTAGCCCTCTGAAGGGAAGAGGGAGACAGCCCTGGTCCAGTGAAAGAGAGAAGAGGTGATTCTGAGTGTACAGCATGATTACATGTATATGTCTCCTACTGCAGTCCACAGCAGATTCTTCCCGGTGCTGGGAGACAGCAGCAAGTTAAATAGTAGGACGTGTTTTTCAAAAAAACCCTGTCAGGCATCAGGAGCTCAGAGCAGGTCTGATTTGAAACTCATGGAAAAGAAGGTGCCTCAAAGTTGGGGAGGGAGAGTCTTCCCACGCCTGTAGAGAACTCAGCAAGGCTCAGCCACATCAAAGTGGTGTGCGCAGTCGTGATGTCTTTTCGCACAGAGTGGCAGCTTTGATAGCCATGCGCAAGCGTGGAGGCAGCAGCTAACTGGGAGGAGCCTTCTCAGGGAGACCCTCCCCTTCTGCCAGGTGCCTTAGGAGCCGCAGCCCTGGCGGCACTGGTGGAGTGGAGCTGCGTTGGTTCAGCCCAGCACTGTCAGGTTTAGCAGACAGAATTAGATGGTGCCTGCAGCAGCCACAAGCTGCCTCTCCAGGGGCCCCGGGGCAAGGAGGCCTTGAGCAGAGCCCGTGCAGGAGTAGAGCAGCAGAGGTCCTAGGCCAGTGGAGCACGCAGTCTGGAATCAGACTGCCAGGTTCGAATCTTGCATCTGTCATAGACTAGCTTTTAAGCCTTGGGGAAGTTACAAAACTTTCTGTCTCTCCGTTTTCTTCCCAGTAAATAATACCCAGCTCATAAGGATTTTCAGAGATTAAATGACAGGAATTGGCAATAGTAAGCACACCACGTGTTAGCTTATTTGTTTCATCATTCGTATGACATCTCACGCTGGTCTAGCGCAACAGTACCTGGAATTCACATTGTTTAATTGCATGACATGCCAGGTTACTGGCAGCAACCCGAAATGCACATTAGATGAGAAGGAAAGTGTCCAGCCATTGCCGACCCCATTCTGTGTTTCCTAAATGCTTACTCTATTCCAGGCCCTGTTCTAGGTGACTTATAGCTCTGGAATGTCAGGTAAGAAGTTAAGAACTGTCACTGTTTAACTGTGGGTGAGGGTGTCTCCAGAGGGGGGACAAGAGTTTCCACTGTATATTTTTTATGCTTTGGTTTTTTTTTCTTTAACTGTTATATATATTCCAAAACATATGCTTGCTTTTCAGTGCCACACACTGGCAGTTCATGCTCCTTATAAGGCCACAATTTAAAATTACACGAAGACTTTATTGCGCCGGTCACCCGGCGGATCGTCATTCAAATAAAGTAAACACTAACGACGCTAATTAATTGGAAGGGAGGGACGGAGGGCGGGGCGAGCGGCAAACGGCAGGTCACCAGCGCGCGACTGTAACTGAGGCGGACTCTCGCGGGAATCTCAGAGGCCCTAGCAACCGGCCACGTGACTCCCGGGGCCGGCCACGTGACTCCCGGGGCCGCCCAGCTTCCCCAGGATCCGAGCCCAGCAGCCACGTTGGCGGCGTTTGTCTGCCAGGGGAGGGGGCGTGGCGAAGGCCGTGCGTGGTACGTGCCCCATTCCTCCCCGCCCGAAGCCCGGATGAAGAGTAACGCCATTACCGCCGGAGCCGCCGAGAGTCGTTGCGGACGGGGACTGGACGCCGGACCGGCCGCGCCATGAAGCCCTTCTCCCGCCTGCTGCTGCTTCTCCTGCTGGTGTTACCCGCCACTCTCTTGCTCCGAGGCCACCCTGGAGGTGAGGCGAGGGGAGTGGGTGGCAGGGCTCGGGCGGGTGGGTGGGAGACGCCGCGACCGCAGGTTTGAAGCTGGAGGCCGCGGCGGCGGCTCCGGCTCCTGGGTCCGGCGTCCGCCTCGCCGGCCTCTCTCCGCGGCCCCCGACCCCCGGCTCGCAGGGCGGCCCCCAGCGCGCCAGAGCCTGCCTGGCCCCCGCCTCCTGCACGCGAGCGCTGGACGCTGCCGGCGAGCTTGCTCGGGGGCGGCGGGCGGCGGGCGGCTCGGGCTCGCGCCTGCAGCCGCGGCCTCGGCCGGAGCGAGGAACGAGGGGCGGCGGACAGGCTGTGCCCGAGGGCGCTGCGGCCCCTGGCGCTCCAGCGGCCGCCGCTCCACCCCGTCCCCGCCCCTCGGCGCTGGGCTGACGTGTCTTTAGCGTCCGCGCCAGGAGTTCTCCATTCATTTGCTGAAAGCCTTGTTTTCTGTTAGCCTGAACTCTGAGCCGTGCTGCTGGTCCTCTCCCCGATTATCAGCACATCCCTCTGTGCTCCCAGGTGTGTTGATTTCCCCAGAACTCACCCGCCTGTCTAGCCTTGCTCCCAGGCGGGCTGAAGAATCCCTGGGCATGTCCGGTACTTGAGCCCTCCTTTTGCCCTCCTTTTTTTGTAATTATTTTTCCCGTTTTGTTTTGTGGAAGCATCGCATTGTCCTGAAAAAAATGTAGTCTCCTTCGAACTGTACGTGCTTGTTTGTTTTTTTTGCGGTACGCGGGCCTCTCACCGCTGTGGCCTCTCCCGTCGCGGAGCGCAGGCTCAGCGGCCATGGCTCACGGGCCCAGCCGCTCCGCGGCATGTGGAATCTTCCCGGACCGGGGCACGAACCCGCGTCCCCTGCATCGGCAGGCGGACTCTCAAGCGCTGCGCCACCAGGGAAGCCCGAGCTGTACGTGTTTTATCTAGGTTTATTCCAACAGTTAACCTGGTGTGAGAATAGGTAGCAGGACGTCAGAAATGTGGAAACTTGGCTTCTTACCCTGGTTCTATCGTGAACTTCCATTTTCTCCTCTGTGGAATTCAGTCTGACTAAATGATCGCTCGAGTTCCTTTTATTCTGTAACTTTAAGCAAGCTGTGTGGCAAAATGAACGATAGTGACAGGTATCCACGAGTTCTTTTGCAAAGAAAAGTGAACTGACTGGCTTCTGTTTAACGGATAGAAAACCAAGTGGGAGAATTAACCAAAACCGTTAATTCATTTGCAGGTTTAAATAGGAATGCTTTTCCTTTAGGAGTTGCTTGCTGGTCGATGTTTTCATTTTCTTTAAGAAAATTTGGTAATCGTACTTGTCTAGAATCTAAAGTATATTTTTTCAGGCTTGCTTTCCTTAAGAAACATCAGTATCTAACTGGGTATCTTTGAACACTTTGTGCAGAATGGCCTGTCTTTCAAAAGATGTTTTCTCTTAATTTTTCCAATGTAAAAGTGTAAGTTTTTTTTTACGCACAAAATTGTTACTGGTTAGCATTAAAACATTGTTTTATAAATGTAGGGTGAAAGCCATTGTATATATTGAGAAGTCTTGAAATTTAACTGAGTACAACTTTATTATGTCAGTTGTAGGTATTCTTACCGGTTTTACAAAATGATTTGTAAATTATAAATGCACTGTTTAGTCTGTTCAGCCAGCAGCTGAAGCTGATTTTCAGTTCATAAAGTGTGGTTCAGTGTTCTTTAATATTTGGCATAAGTCTTAACGGGCAGTAAGAACTCAAGGAAGTGGGAAAGACTTAAAATGCAGTCCCTTTAGTATATACTGTTTCTCCTGAGTATTACAGCGTGTGCACGTGCTTCCTTTCCCATATTTTTTTTCCCTCTACTTAATTGCCACATCATCATTCTTTCTGAGAAATGTTGGAAGAGTCACTAGAACTTTGAAATTTCTTTTGAGGGTCTTGCCTGAAATAGATTTAATGTGACATGTACTTTTGCCTATAAAATTATGATGTATAGTTTCTTGGCGTTATAGTTATGCTTACTTTCACTATGATGTTAAGTGTAGGGGAAATAAAAAGTATCCTAAAACATGTTTGAAGTTGTATGCAAAAATAAATGCATGCTTTCTCAGCTCTCAAACTTGAAATTACCAATATAGTTTTTACTAAACCAAATGTGTTTTATGAGAGCTAGTTTTCACTATGGATGTCATACAGATATTTGTTCCTTGGAATTACATGCTATCGAGTACTAAGAGTTTTGAGCTGTAGTCAACTCTAATAACAGGATTTCTTGCCTAGATATTTAGATTGCTCTTTTCCTTTAGACCTGGATTTTTTTGGTTTGTTTTATGTGGTTAATGATAGATTAAATTCTGGAGTTTCTTACTTTTAAAACAAACTTACTTTCTTTAATATGCTTAACAGAGTTGCTTGACTTTCTTTATTTGGGCTTTAAGGCATCTTTAGTTTTAGCAGTTCATTTTTCCAGTTGCTTTTTAAAATTAAACAGCATTTCTCACTAAAATTAATGTGCAATTGGTAAGACTAGCAGTAAGATAAAATCATATGAGTATTCTTAGACACGTTGTAATTTGGCATCACTTGAGTGAGCTGGGAGATTGAGTTATTCCGAGGGAAAATTTTCGTTGCCTATATACCTGAGATTTAGAAACATTGGTATTCCAGGGTAAAGGTTAACTGCTTGTTCTTTATTTTATTGTTAGGCTCATTGGCAGCGGCTCAAGATCTTACAGAAGATGAAGAAACGGTGGAAGATTCTGTAATTGAAGATGAAGATGATGAAGCAGAAGTGGAAGAAGATGAACCCACAGATTTGGTTAGTGCCGTATTTGATTTAATACATATGTATAGTGTATCTATATATATATATGTATTTAGCCCTTATATAGACAAATTTGGTATTAAAATTCTTGCTTTTAGAGGTTTATTACTGGGATCAAAGTGGATTGAATTTGGGAGAATGGGGCCAGTCATTGAGGATGATCCGTAAGTATTTTCTGGCGCCAAGGAGGGAGACGTGAAACAAATAACAGTTCAAGGTGATATGAACGTGAGTCTGTGAGGGTAGCATTATAGTAGGACCACTGGACCATTTGTTGTTGGGTTTGGGATAATGACTACTTTGCTTTCTGGTCTTGGGCAACTTATCTTTCTGGGTCAGTTTCCTCTTCTTTTTTTCCTTCACTCAATAAGCAAGTATTTATTGAGTTCCTACTGTGTGCCAGGCACTGTTTTAGATTTCCCTGGTGAACAAACCAGAGATTCTCTCTGCTCTCATGGAGTTTATGTTCTTGGGACAGTGTGTATGCATTTTGGTGGCAGGGGGTGAGGAGCGGACAATAAACAATATATAAAGTATGTTCTGTGAAGATTCCGCTTAGAAGGAGGGCTTGGAGAAGATCTCTTAGAAGCTAACACTGAGACTTTTACTATAAAATTATAGTATGACAGTAAGAATATTGGGCTAGAATCAAGATCATTGTGGCATGCTTCTAGCTAATTTTATTTTCTCTCTTAGACTACTGTAATTTATCCTACATAGAATTGGTTTTTAACCACTTTTAAACTCCAAAATCAGTCCTCTGTGAAATCTAAGCAACAGTATTATTGTCTTTGATATCAGAAGGTGAAGGCCATCGAGTGTGGACTCTGTCAGATTTTCTACATTCTACTTCTGGAATATATTATTTACTCATCTTTTCTCCATCTCTCCTTTAACAGTGAGTTGTCTTTACTCTCTTCTAAGGCCGGCCCTACCACCACCACCGTCTCCCCATCTGGTCTTGTGAGATCTTGTTTATTATCCTCTTTCTTTCTGTAACTTTAAGCACTGATCCTTCTCGGTGACTTAATTCTGTTAAGCTGCAGATGTGCTCACATCCTCCACTTTGTGTTCCTCCATCTGAAGTTGCTACACGTTTTCTTTTCTTTTTACCAGCACAGTTCTTGAAAGAGGAAATTGTACCACTTTCTCTTCTGCTCATTTCACATTTGTTCTCTAACAGTGCTTGGTCTGGTCCCATGTATCTAGTAAAACTGTTCTCGCTAACTCACCAGTGACCTAACTGCCAAATTCCTGGCCTGGAATTACCATTCCTCCCCTGTTTGACCTCTTTAGCATTTCCTGAGTACCCCTTCCTTGAGTCCCCTCGTTGACCTCTGTGGCACCCCCATCAGTTCTCTCTGTTCAGCGGCTGCTGCCTGGTCTCTACTGCCTTCTCTCCCCCTGCTCACTCCCTTAATGTTGATGACACCTGTGGTTTTAACAACCACCACCTTACGTTGATGACTTCCAGATCTCGTTTCTAGCCGCCTACCTTACCGAGCTCCATTCCTCTGTTTCTAGCTCTTTATGGGATAGCACATCTGGATGTTCCATAAGTACCTCAAATTTTATCTGTCCAAAATGGAATTCAGCATTTACCATCCATCTTACTTCCATAAATTAATTCTGTTTTGATAAGGCTCCGGTGCTTCAAGCTTTTACCTTGTTGCTTTCATTTCTTTTTATTACACAACCTGTTAATCAAATCTTAGGGATGTTTTCTCTTGTTTCTCAAGTATATCCTTTTCTCCTTATTTGACAGCTTATGGTTCCTACCTTCCTGTTTCTGGTCTCTTTTCCTGTTTGTGGGTCTCTTTTCCCAAAAGTAGAAATTCACTAAGTTTTTGTAAATGAAGGTATCATTAAAGATACTTAAAATATAACTTATAATACAATTGAACGAATTGTACAACAGTCACTGAAGAAATGTTTTGAGTGCCTTAAGCATATGAGGTGGGTGTGGAGAATTTTTAAAATGTAAGACAGGCTTTGCTCTTGAGAGGTCTGTATTGGGAGAGAGAGTATTTACATAAATGAAAAGTTAAATGCCAGTAAACAGTGGTGCCCTTAAGCATCTCGATTTATTAAGGGCCTGGACATTTCAAATACAAGAGTATCTGTAATTCTCATTGATGCCTGGAGAAATGCTGCACTGGGGTTTAAAATTTTTAGTTAAAGTTTGTTGACTTTTTTTTTTTTTTTTTTTTTGCGGTATGTGGGCATCTCACTGCTGTGGCCTCTCCCGTTGCGGAGCACAGGCTCTGGACGCGCAGGCTCAGCGGCCATGGTTCACGGGCCCAGCTGCTCCGCGGCATGTGGGATCTTCCTGGACCAGGGCACGAACCCGTGTCCCCTGCATCGGCAGGCGCACTCTCAACCACTGCGCCACCAGGGAAGCCCATGGGGCAATTCTTAATTGGAATGGAAAGACCAATAACCAGGCCCTAGCACGGCTCGGCAGAATGTGGATGCGGGACAGAGCCAGCTCTGCCCCGCCCCGTGTTGTCCCTGGCTGCTTTTGTGCTGCCCCCGCAGTTGCATAGTTGCAGCAGGGACCTGTGGTCCCGAAAGCGGAAGACACTTGCTACCTGCGTCCTCAGGCCAGCGACTCCTTTGGAGTCTCCTTCCCTTTGCCCTTTGTCGGGGAGGGGTGGCATGAAAAGTAGTATGAGAATTCTTCTTTTCCGGGAAGGTAGTATTCCTGGCATTTAAACTAAGGGGAAAAGTAAGTACTACCCATTTTAACTAGAAACTAAATGTCCCTTTGAAAAATACTGTTTTTAAACTTCTTTCAAACTTTACAGAAAATTTACCAACCCACAGTCTAGAACCTCGCAGTTCAAAGTGTTATCTAAGTACCAGCTTCATGGGCATTTCCTGGCATGGGCATTTCAGATACATACTGAATCTCAGGCTTCACCCTATACCTGAGTCACAGCTGCAGAATCCCCAGGGGATCAGCATGCACATTACTCTTTGAGATGCACTGCTCTTCAAGTTTTATTTTCACCGATGAGTTACAATGAAATTCATTCCACTACTAATCCCAACACAGCCTTGGAGAAGCAATGTATATATTGTCCCAAATCTAGTGAAGTCATTATTCTTAAACGATGTTGTTTTTCTTCCATAGTAATCTGCTTTTAACATTTTTCTTAGGCTGAAGATAAAGAGGAAGAAGATGTATCTGGTGAACCTGAAGCTTCACCAAGTGCAGATACAACCATCCTGTTTGTGAAAGGAGAAGGTGAGAGGGGAATGTTGGTTGTAATTCAAATACAGGAATTTTATAAATGGCTAGCTCAGTTTTGGGGGAAGCATTAATAATGATTAAGGTCTTTATTTTACAAGTATAGGGTAGACACATTTTGGGGAAAAACCCACTTACATGTATGAATACCCATATCTGTAAGGTAGCATTTCTGGCATTTAAACTACGGGGAAAAAATAAATACTATCTATTTTAACTAGAAATCAAACGTCCTTTTGAAAGATACTATTTTTAAACTTTTTTCAAACTGCCACAGTAAAATAACATTCATATTTTGAGTGTAAACATTAGTGAAATATTATATCTTTACAGTTAGGCCTTGATTAGAGCCTGTGTTGCATTAGAAGAAAATTAACTAATGGCTTATATTTATTGAGAACTATGTGGCAGGCACTGTTTTCAGTATTTTGCATGTATTATTCAATCCTAGTAGGAACCCTAAGAGGAGAGTTATTGTTGTTGAACTGAGGTTTAGAGAGGTTACGACTTGAACAGGGTTACTCAGTTAATAAACAGATTCTGAAGACAGGATTCAGACCCAGATGTGTCCGACTCCAGAACCTGTACTTACTGGATGAAGCAGCCCTGTAGACCACAGGATAATTATCGAAGACTTATTATTTGAGATTATGCATTCTCTAGGTCTTCTCAAGCTTTCTGTTTTATTCCCACATACATTCTGGCTCTGTGCCTACAGAAAGTATGATTTGGGAGGTTTTTGTTGTTGTTGGTTTTTCCCGTTTATTTTTGTAGCTGCCTCCTTGGGTCACGTTTGTTTGCATTTTGACTAACTGCAAATAAGGATTGCCTGATTGATTTTTTTCTCTGTTATGTTTTAATAGATAGTACAGTTTTCAGGTGAACCTCTGAGACTTTACCTTTCTGTCATTTTCCTCTCCGTTACCTGCACAGGTTGCAGATACTGAGTTGGAGGTGAAGGTGACTTCACCAAGACACGTAGCCCCCCTGCAAGATAATCTCACTCCTGGAAGTATACAGCTCCTTCCAGTATACATACAACTTGGAAGTGATCTGGTCTGAAATTGAGGTGCTCAGTTCAACTCTTAAGTTGGAATGCTGCCATGGGGACAAGGGTTTCAGCTTACACACGAACTCCCAAGTTGCTGGTTAGTGGATGGCTGGAGTGCTCTACTGAAAAGGGTTCTGAAACCAAATCCATACATAGCAGGAAAGGGTGCCAGAATCCATTTGTAATGTCTGCTTATTTTGTACCCTGTGAATGTTTTCTAATCTTCCTGTCTCTTTTTTGTTTCTTAGATTTTCCAGCAAATAACATTGTGAAGTTCCTGGTAGGCTTTACAAACAAGGGTACAGAAGATTTTGTCGTTGAATCTCTAGATGCCTCATTCCGTTATCCTCAGGACTACCAGTTTTACATCCAGAATTTCACGGCTCTTCCTCTGAACACTGTAGTGCCGCCCCAGAGACAGGCAACTTTTGAGTACTCCTTCATTCCCGCAGAGCCCATGGGTGGCCGGCCCTTTGGTCTAGTCATCAATCTGAACTACAAAGATTTGAACGTAAGGCTCTCTAAACCTTCTTCTTCTTCTTTTTTTTTTTAAGTTAAGAATGGATGAGGACAGTTGACATTGTTTAATGAATATTCTTATATTTATTCATTCAGGTGCCTATTTTGTGGTTGAAAATAGGCAGCAGGGAGGCAAAGATAAATTGTACACCTCTGTCTTCAAGTCTATAATCCAGTGGGGCAGATGGTTGTAGACAGACAACATCACAGCATAAGTGATACATACTAGGGACAAGTAAGTGCGGGGGTAGGAAAGTGAAAGTGACTCCAGCTGGATCTTGAAAAGGAACGGTAAGCCGCACAGTGGAATCTGCTACTTCTTCAGATGTTAATATAAAGTAATTTTTGTACCTCCTTTTGTTGCTTGCATTTTGCCCGTTTTACTGCTTCTGTTGGTAAGTTTTAAGGACTTTCTGTGACTATTTTTATGTCATTTTATACACTCATAGAGAAAATGTAACCAAATTATTTTTAGGATGTTAGTAAGGCTTATGGTTTATGAGAACCAAATAGCCTAATATAAGCTCTGCTGTCTTTCTTAGGATATTTTACTATCTTTCTATAGGATACATATATCCAGTGAATGAATGAGAGAAGCCTACTAGAATTTTACTGCTGGGAGTTGACCTCTAGATGCCAACTATCACGTCCTCTTTCAGATAGAAAGCACATGTAAACCATTCCCTGTTGAAAAAGTTTTCTGAGAAGGAAATTTCATCCTCTCTTGGAAGTTTATTCAACCTTTTCATCACCCCAGTATCAACATATTTACATCTGAGTTAAATTTCTCATGCTGCATTTAAGTTTTCCTTTTGTGTCTTTTTTTAAAACTACTTAGTGGAAAGTGGGAAAGAGTTTTCATCTTTTTTCTTTTTTTTTGAGGGGGGGCGGTGCATACTGCACTGCTTGTGGGATCTCAGTTCCCCGACCAGGGGTTGAACCCAGGCCCCTGCAGTGAGGGCGCCGAGTCCTATAACCACTGGACCACCAGGGAAGTCCCCGTCCTTATTTTCAGAACAATGTATTAAGCCTCCTCAACGTTATAGTTTAGTAGCTTGAAGGATTGTATATTTCATCAAGTTTTCAAGGAGAATTAAACTTAATCCAACAAGCATATATATAGCTTCAGTTCCATTTTGAATGTTTGTTTCATCTTGGAATTGTCACTAGAGGAATGCTAATTGAAAGATCTTGGAATAAGACTTAAATCGTCACAGTTCAGCAATAAGTGGTGACAGTTTTGAAAAAGTACTACCTCGATGCTTCACACAAAACACAATACAGCTGTGTGTTGTCCCAGTGATTGTCATGTATTTGAAAACTGAAATTGTGTTGAGCTGACAGAATTATTTGGAGACCACCACAGAAAAAGATTTTGATACTGAAAGTCATTAACCCATTTAATATAAACTGATTTCCAATCCATTGCCAATTTAGAACATGAATTTGACTTTTGTTCAAGTCTAGTTCTTAAAATGATGTTCTCTGGAGCTCCTGTGTGCATGTTCATGGTCTTCCTTTCTCGTTTGGAGGATTACCTACAACAGAAGCCAGGGCTTCTAGCTGAAGAGTGTTCTGTGGGCTCTGTTTCTTTCTGCAAGTTATCCTGTTTTTACTTCACTTCCCTGGTTTCTCACACCTCTCATCCCCGTCAAAGAAAGTGGGGACAACTTTAGCAAAGTTGGAGGCCTTTTTTATTTTTGAGGAGAAAGTAACATCATAACGTTGAGTCCCTGACATTGAATTGGTGCACTTACGTATGACCCTGTTGAGTCTTACTGATGTTCTAAGTGATGAGAAAGCGGTATGGTATCGGTAGGGTATCTGTAGGGTAACAGTTTTAAGAAATCTTTTAAGCTTTCATTCTTTCAACACATTTCCGATTTTTGTGATTTATTTTTTTAACAGGGCAATGTTTTCCAAGATGCTGTCTTCAATCAAACAGTTACAGTTATTGAGAGAGAAGATGGGCTAGATGGAGAGACGTAAGTGAAAGTCACAGTGTGTAGGTCTTGGTCTCAGAAGGTAGGGCTGGGAGGCTTGCTTCCGTCACTGTAGCTTTTAATGATGCAAGATTAGGTGTAGATTGGGTGGAATCCTGACTACTTAAATTCATACTTTAGATGATTCTTACAACTATTAATACCAAGTTAGGAAAGATAGTTAAAACTAACAAAAAATTGTTTTAGAAAGTTTGCGTTTTGTTCTTCCCGTCTTTAAATTGTTTTCCACCCCGCCCTCTTAAGTTGGTCATCAGCCTCATCTAAGTTGCATGGCTCCAAAATTACTATTGAAAACATAAACCATAAGATTTTATCTTGAAAAATGTGTCCTTTGCGAATGATGAATCACTTTTCACTATATACTTATATAATTCACTAAAAGTAACTTTCAAATAAAATCGTGCAAAGTCTAATATTTGAGGAAGACAGCGCCTAATGCAGCTGTTTAACTGAGCTTTGACTATAACAAATTATGAAGTAATTCATTGTAGGTCATATGCCTTTTTTGGGGGGTGGGGACTGACTGTTGTTAAAGGTAAATTTATAAAACTGTTACCTGGCTCTACGTTGAATTTAAAATATTTTGTTCCTTTTCCCCACAAATTATTTGGAAAAATTATATTTTGTTAGAATCATTGTAATTAACTCATACCTGTTAGGAGTTTAAGCACAATTATAGTTTTAATTAGCTGTGTTATTTCTTATGAACTAAAGCCAGTTTATATTTTCTCCTTTTATATCAGAATCTTTATGTATATGTTCCTTGCTGGTCTTGGGCTTTTGGTGGTGGTTGGCCTTCATCAACTCCTAGAATCTAGAAAGGTAAATATCGATAAACAGCTCTTATAGCCTTACTTCAAAAATGGTTACAGTACCGAGTACAGTCTAGTTATTTGTGGCTTTTTGCTCTCACTGTGGGTTTGTAGTACCTTTTTTTTTTTTTCTTTGCGGTACGCGGGCCTCTCACTGTTGTGGCCTCTCCTGTTGCGGAGCACAGGCTCCGGACACGCAGGCTCAGCGGCCATGGCTCACGGGCCCAGCCGCTCCGCGGCATGTGGGATCCTCCCGGACCGGGGCACGAACCCGCGTCCCCTGCATCGGCAGGCGGACTCTCAACCACTGCGCCACCAGGGGAGCCCTGTTGCACCTTCTTAAAATAAAGCCTGAATGAAGTGAGAGTAGCACGGACATGTATACGCTACCGAGTGCAGAGTGGTTGGCTGGTGGGGGCATCAGCATAGCCCAGGGAGATGGGCTCCGTGCTTTGCGATGACCTGGAGGGTGGGGGCCCGGGGGGTCGGGGCTGTGTGGGCATGTGGCTGATTCGCTTTGTTGTGCAGCAGAAACTGGCACGCTATTGTGAAGCGGTTGCACTCCAGCGAAGACCTATTTTAAAAATAATAACAACAATAAAAATAAAAGCCTGTTCCCTGGTGGCGCAGGGGTTGAGAGTCCGCCTGCCGGTGCAGGGGACGCGGGTGCGTGCCCCGGTCCGGGAAGATCCCACATGCCGCGGAGCGGCTGGGCCCGTGAGCCATGGCCGCTGAGCCTGCGCGTCCGGAGCCTGTGCTCCGCGACGGGAGAGGCCACAGCAGTGAGAGGCCCGCGTACCGCAAAAAATAAGTAAATAAATAAAAGCCTGAAGAGGAGACCTTGGGTGTCTGATTCGGATTTGTTTAGACTCTGCTGCCGCGTGCACTTGGTGTCCTTTGTCTGCATTCTCCAGGATGACACTTACCTTCTCACTGTTACGTAACTCTATAGTCTAGATTTTTTATTCCTAAAACTCAGACATTAAATTTCATTCTTCTGTTTATCATACTCTTTCATGGATATGTATTTTATCTATAAGTAATGCAGCTTTTATGTATTTGCTTTAATACTCTTGACTATAGGGCTGACTTCTCATTAGCAATTAAATGAGTCTTCATTTGAAAAAGAATGAATGAATTTGGCTGTATTTAAGTCAGAATTCTGTTTCATGTTAGAGTTGTGGAGTGGCAACATTGAAGCACCTGGTGTAATCATGGTTTCCTGTCTCTGAACTCGGTAGCTAATCCTGTCACTGTATCCTCATGTCCCTCTTCTCCCCTACCCTGCCAAAAAAAAAAACCAACCCCCAAACAAAATAACCCATACTATTGCTCTCAGTATATAACGTGATTTGTGTCAAATACACTGATGTGTACTAGACCCTAAACAATTGCTGGACATTTTGGTTAATCTTTATTTATTAAGCAGTAAGTCAGGCAATCAAATCTATGTAAAATTAGCAGTAAATGTTATTAATAAATCCTTTTTAAAAGAAAAATACTTAGTGCTTGAATGTTAATTTTCATAACTTTCTTTACCTTGTTTTCATAATAATCAGCATTTTTGCTATAAGTTTATGTATTAGGTATAAGCCAGTTTTTCAGTTATCTCTGTGTATTCAGAGTCCAATTTTTGGACTGTAAAATTAATATTCTGTTTCTTATGTAAATAATTAGATGGGTTTTTTTGTTTTGTTTTGTTTTTTTAAAGAATAGGACCAGTGGAATTGAATCACCTTCTTACTTTCTAGCAGTTTGGCTGCAAATACTCAAGGAACAAAGTTTGAGGTTGTTAGCTTAAATGGGATTGTATGTTTCTGTTTTATTTATGCCAGCTGTTTAAGTGTATTTAGCTAATAATGCAGGGATCTGCCTGCATGCAACATTTCAGTAATTATCCCAACTTTTGTTTAATGTGGAAATAAGTTTATTCTTTAAGATTTGATTCCCCAAATGAAAATCATTGTAAAAGGAGAAGTTCTTACTTGGTCTACCAATTGTATAATAACATATGAAGCTTTATAGCAGAGGAAAAGGCCGTTAGAGACTGAAAATAAGTAATTGTGCAGATTTATTCCTTATTCTTTATAATTCGTGTAGACATGATTTTCCCGTCTCGTTAAAAAAATATTTGAGGAATATGTTTTAGGACTAAAAGAGAACATGTTTATTAATATATTTAAGTGGGTAGCTTGATGGGCGGTTTTAATATTATAGTAAATAATATAATGGAACTCCTTTACAATAATGTTTTTATGTTCTCTTAGCGCAAGAGACCCATACAGAAGGTAGAGACGGGTACCTCGAGTCAGAGTGATGTTGACATGAGCTGGATTCCTCAGGAAACTTTGAATCAGATCAGTAAGTACGCTTACAGGCTCGCCTGGGAAGCTTTTCTCTTAAATGGAAATTAAGTATCTTAGATTTGGCAAAAAATGCTTGGTCAACACTCATCTTTTCATGGCTTGTACGAATCTAATATGATGAGCAACGAATGCATCACATTTTTATTCTGTGCACTATATTTATGCTTTAATTTAGAAATGCTTCCACATCTGCATTTTGTATACAAATGTGTGAATTCTCTATATTCCTAACCTTTTTCCTGTCTCTCTTCTTTCCTGTTGCTTCAGTGCAGAGTAGGAGAGGTGAGGCAATTCATCTTTTTAATGGTGTTTGTTGTGGTGTTGGGAGCTGTTGTTTGTGAATACTTTACAGTAAATTTATTGAATAAGGGAACAGTTTTCTATCACCATATTTATTAGAAAAACTGCCACCTACCCACCATTTTTGAAAGAATAACCTACAGTACTGCCTGATAGTTTACCTAACGTATATTTCAGTTTTTATTATATATGCAGTTGGTTAAATATTAATCTTTATAGAAGAATATAGATTTTTTTCTCCAGTTGTAATTGGACTTTTTAAAAACATTTACCATAAAAGCAGTATGGCTTCATTGCTTTTTTTTAAACAACTTTAAAAAATTTATTTATTTATTTTTGGCTGCGTTGGGTCTTCGTTGCTGCACGTGGGCTTTCTCTAGTTGCGGTGAGCGTGGGCTACTCTTCGTTGCGGTGCTTGGGCTTCTCATTGCAGTGGCATCTCTTGTTGTGGAGCACGGGCTCTAGGTGCACGGGCTTCAGTAGTTGTGGCACACGGGCTCAGTAGTTGTGCCCCAGGGGCTTACTTGCTCCGCGGCATGTGGGATCTTCCTGGACCAGGGCTCAAACCCGTGTCCCCTGCATTGGCAGGTGCATTCTTAACCACTGCACCACCAGGAGGTCCTGTCCTTTTTTTGGGGCGGTGGGGGGAAGAAAAAAAGTTCAGAGATAACCTCCTGGCTCCACGAGTCCCATTTTCCATAAATAATTGGTACTTACATGTTAGTCTAAGTGTTTTCTATACGTGTACCAGCTCATATGTCTATTGTGTCTGTGTGTGTTTACACAGATGGCATCATGTGACACACAGTTCTACAACCTGAGTTCTTGTGCCTTGGATGTCTTTTTTTGATAACTATATATTTATCTTATTCTTTTTAATAACTACATAGTATTCTTTTACAACTCTTTTACATAAATGTGTCAGGATTAAGCCTATTCTATATTGAAGGATGTTTGTTATTTCCAGTTTTTTGCTCTTAAGATTAATACTCTAATGAATATTATTAATATATAAAATTATGGGCTAATTTAAAAAATTAAGATGTAATTGACATATAACATTAGTTTTGCATGTACAACATAATGATTTGATATTCGTGTAAAATGTGAAATGATTACCACATCGTCTAGCCAACAGCACCCCACAGTTACAAATTTTATTTTTCTTGCGATGAGAACTCTTAAGATCTGTTCTCTTAGCAACTTGCAGATATACAGGACAGTGTTGTTAACTATAATCACCATGTTGTATATTAAATACTTGTGACTTATAACTAGAAGTTATCAGTTTTGACCCCCTACTCCTATTTTGCCCACTCTCCTACCCGGGATAACTTTTTAAAAATTAATTTATTTTTGGCTGCGTTGGGTCTTCGTTGCTGTGTGTGGGCTTTCTCTAGTTGTGGCGAGCGGGGGCTACTCTTCATGGCGGTGCGCGGGCTTCTCATTGCGGTGGCTTCTCTTGTTGGGGAGCACAGGCTCTAGGCACACGGGCTTCAGTAGTTGTGGCTTGCAGGCTCTAGAGCGCAGGCTCAGTAGTTGTGGCGCACGGGCTTAGCTGCTCCGTGGCATGTGGGATCTTCCTGGAACAGGGCTGGAAACTGTGTCCCCTGCACTGGCAGGTGGATTCTTAACCACTGTGCCACCAGGGAAGTCCCTAGGATAATTTTTTAAAAGTAGAATAGCTAGGTCTAAGATTATGCACATTTTAATTTTTATGGAAAGTGTTTCATTTCCTTCCTGAAAGGTGGTGCCAACTTACATTCTCAGTAATGTATAATATTGCCTGTTTCTCCTCCCCTCTTACTAATCATTCTCACGTGTTAAGTATAATAAAATGTTTTAATCTGCCAGTATGTTACAAAATGGTATCTCATTTTCATTTACAGTTAAGAATGAGGTTTGGCTTCTTTATGCATATTTATTGGCTACTTATTATTTCTTTTCCTGTGAATTGGCTGTTCATGTTCTTTCCAGGTTTATAAATTGACTTGTCTTTCTATGTTGAAATGCAGGTGCAGTCTGGTAGGTTCTTTAGTATAAGAGCATAGGAGGGGCCTTCTCCAGGTAGGAGGGTAGGGAGATCATTCACAGAAAGGGTTGACATTGGCCGATTCTTGAGTTCTGTGAGGGGGAGTCTTTTTTATGTGCTCTGCTACAGCATTCTGACTTTCCTTCTAGCCAAATGGCAGCCATCAGATACTTTAAAGCAGAGAAATAACAAATTCATGTTTTTTTTTTTTAAAACTATGTGATAGTCTCACGGAGGCTGGCTAACAAGTGGGAGCTAGTGGACCCAGGGATACCAGCTAGGTGATTTCAGCCAAGCGTATGAGGAACCATTAGGGCCTAAGCTAAGGCAGAAGTGAATGGGAATAAAAGGGAAGAGAAAGATATTTCAGAAGTGGAGCTGGTTGGGCTTTCAGTGGCATTTTGGTAGTTGCAGGAAGGGAGGAGTCAGGCTGCTCTGAGTTTGGGCAGCTGGATGGAAGGTGGTCCCATTAACAGCAGGGACTCTAGGAGGAGGAGTGTCTGTGCACAAGGAGAGAGGGGTGTGCGCTGGATGTGCTGGGTGCCAGGAGCCCGTGCAACCCCAGTGAGCGTGTGGAAGCGTGTTCGGAGCACAGGCGGGCCAGGATGCGGAGACACTGGCGCAGAGCCTTGGCGACAGTGGAGGGTTTCTGCAAGGACAGGCTTCCCACACCATCCGGCATTCCGTGTGGCGGGACATGGAGTTGGGCGGAAGTGTAGACCACGGCCTCTACAGTGCAGCAGGATTGCTTGTGTAGACTGGGAGACTGGTTTCATAGTATCTCTCTCCCTGACCTGTTATTCAGGAACTTAAAAGCTGAGCAAAATTCCAATCACGTATAACTGTGCTTTCATTCAGTAAGTATTACCCACAGTGTCATAACACTGCTAGGTCCTGAGCGGTATGTTAAAAAGAAGCTAAGAATATATGTATTACTGTTTTTCAGAGTTTACATTTCTGCTTGAGGAAAGTAAAGCACATATGTGAAATAGTATGTGATTATGTGCTAGAATGAATAATGTGGACAACTTAAAAGTTAGGAAAGGGGGATCGTATTTAGAGTCAAAGGAAGTCTTGTTGAAGGAGAGAATATCACGTGTCTCAGGTGATGAGTCTCGTTCGGAGTGTAAAGGAAGAAGGGTGGTTTGAAACAATTTGAGCCCATTACTAAGAAGTTTTTTCTTGTATGTTTTGCATTTCAGAGTAGGGTGCTTCAACTTCCCTGAGGTCTTTTAACTGTAAGTGACAGGTTAGCTGATTTTAATAGAAAAATTATAGGATCTTCGCTAAATGTTGTTTCATATGTGTACATAGGGAAACCTTCATCAGAAGCTATAACTATGAAGTCTTCTGTGTAATGTGACTTTAACTCAGGGATCTGTTAGAAAACTGTGACATGTATCTCATTAAGTAAAAAGAAATCCATCTGAAAGTTATTTATATAATATTTCCCCACAGGTGAGGTAGGAAATTAGATTATGCAGTCCGAGAAAGTGGAAAGGGACCAGTTTAACTTTCTCTTTTCTAATATGAAAAAAGTTGCAGTGAGTTACCATTTTACTACAATTTAGTCTTTTTTTAAATGGGCAGGGAGGCATTTTCGGATCCGCCTTATTTATTCAATATGAGACATCATGTTTAAGGTTTTCTGTTTTGTTTTGTTTTTTTTTTTAAGTTTTTTAGGGTTTTGGGGGGGTCAGAAGGAGGTGGTTTCCTTTGATGACTGAGAGCACCATTATACACATTTCGTTGTTCTTTGCTGAAATGAAATGCCACTTTCTAGGCTGTTGAGGCATTTGGAGCCATTTTCCCCAAAGCTGGATGACTCCAGGCTGCTCTCTGTCTCGTTTGTCTGCTGCTTAACTCTGATGAGCTAGACATGTGGGAGGGGAAGGTTTTAGGCTCACTGTTAAGGTAAGTTGGATCGGCTGTCTTCCTGATGGAGTGAAATTCATGTGTGTTGGACGAACAGGCTTTGCAGGTTCTCCGAGGCTCTTTTTTGTATATTCCTGTATTTAAAACCCTGCTGCAGGGGGTTGACATTGTTGGGAGTCAGTAATGACCATTTCACATCCATAGTAACAGCTGTGTCCACACAGGTGGCTGTTAGATTGTGAAGCATTTTTTGAAAAAAAAAGAAAAAAAGATTATTCAGCTGCTGCTTATATTTAAAAATTATTTAGGAGTAGAAGACGCAGTAATTCGTAGGCGAACCTTTCTGAAAATTTGATGAAAGTTGTAGGCTTTCTTTGTCAGAACAGTGCTTCTTTGCTCAGCTTTAGGCACTGGAGCCCCCAAAACACATCATTACCAACCTACTTAATAAAGCGCTGAGGCCGGCTCTCACGTGATATTTCAGTCATTAAGTCTTAAGCAGTTTTTTAAAAAGAATTTTTAGCTTCTAAATATTCTTTGTAAACATTTACTCTATATTTTTTTAAGCTGGAAAAATAATTGTAATGTGTAACTTATTCCGCAAGGAACTTAACGTTCCTAATAGGTTAGGTGCTCCTAGAAAATATGAAAAAGACAATGGTCAGAGAGAAGACAGTCTTTCACTTTTTAAAGAAACTTCTAGATGACTCCTTACTGGATAGAAGTGGAAGAAACTCACCACCAGTTTATTTTTTGCTTAATGGACCACACTAAGACTCTAACATAAGAGAAAAAAGTAAAAAGATACTGCTTACGTGTGTAGGATGCTTTTAATATTGATGTACTGTATAATTTCTTTTAACCTGCTGCTCATTTCAGGTAAATTTATGAAATTACCAAAAATTATGCAAACTACATGGTGCTGCCTTTATAAATATTAAGTCTTTAATTTAATTTGTAACCAATATAAAATTTTTATGCTATTTGTAAAGAGTTTACTTACGCATGTATCATGTATAAACATGCTGAGCTGTAGAATTCAGGAACATTTTGTATGGTAGCTTCAACATTACAGTGATCAAGATTAGATCTTTTCCCACCCTAATTGCAAAAAGATTTAATTGACATATAATGAATGACACATGAGTTCCAGGTATACAACATAATGATAGATAACTTGTACACATTGGAAAGTGGTCACCACGGTAAGTCATCTGTCACCATACAGAGTTACCAAAAATAGTTTTGTGTGTGATGAGAACTTTTAAGATTTACTTAGCAGCTTACAAGTATGTAGAGTTTCATTTTGAGTTACCTCTTGAAGGATTATTTTAAAGGTTAGTTAAAAAACCTATGCTAGGTAAGAGGCATTTATTATTAGGTGGTCTTCTTGCATGTGCGTCGTTTTCTTAATGGTAAAGTTGAAGGAAAATGCTTTTGAATTGAACACGTACATGACAGCCAGGCAAGTCAGAACTTTCTCTTTTCTTCCAGATAAAGCTTCACCCAGAAGGCTGCCCCGGAAACGGGCACAGAAGAGATCGGTGGGATCTGATGAGTAAATGTTCTTTGTGCAACAATTCGGTCTTTACTTAACCCGCCCTAATGTTTTACGGCCTGATGGGAATTAGTGCAGAGAAGCCATATCACCATAGAAGGCAACTCCTACTTATGTGTGGACTGAGCAATCAGAGTCTGTGGCGGTAACATTGCTGAAAATGCACTGCATTTATTTTTCTAAAGTAACAAATTTGGTTTTTTTAAAACCATTAAAATCTGTGTGAGTGTGTGTGTATGTATGTGAGCAGTTGGTCTCCCCAGAATCCTTGTTGAACTATCTGAAGCGTGCCTTTAGAACACTAAATACAATGCTCTTGTCTCTTCCTTTTGGACATTTTCTGGCATTTTCCCCCAAAACTCAGCATTTGCCCGGTATGACTGTAGACGTCCTGCCTTGGACTGTTTTTAAAGAAAACAATGTTTCTTCTTTAGAATAGCGCAAATCCCGCTTGATGGCACAAATTTGCATGTTGTTGCTGTTCTACAACTAGTATTCTAAAGGCACGAGCCGGCCTAGCTGCTTTTTGGCAGTAGAACTGTTTTGGTATTTTGCTGCTGTTTACTATAATGCGCACCTTCCGAAACCTTCCCAAATAAGTTCAAGGAATTTGGGGATCTCTAGCACCAAAAGTGTGAAACATGAAAATTCTGGTTTTGATATGTAAAACCAACTTCACTCTCTTTTTTTATAAGAAAAAAGGTACATATGTGGAAACTTGAGTTGTCCACTGTTCTGACCCAAGAGTTGTCCACTGTTCTATTTCTGACCCAAGAGATAAAGCTCTGGGATTTTTAGACCACTCTGTTTGTTTAAGAGAGCATTTTCCTCTCCTTAATAGAAGCATCTTGCTTTAGAAGCGTTGCCTTGGTCTACAGACTAAGCGAAATTCCAACTAATCCTATACCTGTTAAAGAGGTGGATAACTTTTAATGGTTAACCAGTTGTTAACCGATTTTTATCTAATCTTTGGGGTATTTTGGTTGTTGATTTTTTTTCAAGTTAATCTGAAGAACTCCAAAATTTTAAGCACTTAAGATATCAGAACCAAAATTAACTGGGCTTCATAAAATCCCTCTTAGTTGCCCTTGCCCTCGGTAGTAAATGAAGTTTGGCGCTACTGTCAGGCTGGATAAGCAGCAGAGTAAACAGTACGCACACATCCAAGGCTTCTCCCTCTGTCTGCAAGTCATATTCTCCCACATACATTCTGTAAGGGAATAATGGTAAATGAAATTTTAGTAGCTGTGTAATTCCTGATCTGTCTTCATTATAATGAACTGATCCCTCTTTGCTATAATCCCCACCTGCAACCCCGCCCACACAAAAAACAATGAAGCAACACAAGTGAAAAACCTTTCCAAGTTGCTTAAGTCCTCATCTGAGCCAAAGACAATGACAATAAAAACAAGTTACTGTAGGGCTTCCCTGGTGGCGCAGTGGTTGAGAGTCCGCCTGCCGATGCAGGGGACACGGGTTCGTGTCCCGGTCCGGGAGGATCCCACATGCCGCAGAGCGGCTGGGCCCGTGAGCCATGGCCGCTGAGCCTGCACGTCTGGAGCCTGCGCTCCGCAGCGGGAGAGGCCCGCGTACCGCAAAAAAAAAAAAAAAAAGTCACTGTAAAGCTGTTAACCGCTTTGGAAGTAGGGCTAAGGTGTCAAATTAACTATATTGGCAATGCTGAGCTAAAGAAGCTTTCTATACCTGTAATATAAAGTGTTTTGAGTTTTTAATTGGGCTGTATGATCAGTAGTTTATTTTGGAAAGCTCTGTGAGCTCTAAGAAACTGCATGGTTTTTATTTGATGTAATATAGGAGACCCTCCACCTTCTCAAGGAATATCGATATATTTCAAAACATTTTTGTGAATGTCCAAATTTGTGAAATTACTAGGACATAATGAAGTAAGGTGTAATCAAAAAATTTAAATGACCTCTACAGAGCATTTTATTGAATTCCTGGTGATACTTAGGCAATGGGAAAGCCACGCTGAGTTACAAGTGCCAGGCCTTCTGACTCCTGAGTAATCTGCCTTATATGTACTAGACCTTCCATATCTGAGGTTCAAATTAGCGCACGGAAATCATCTGTCATGTTTTGTTTTTTAGCATAGATTGGGAACACTTAAATTCTTGAGTCCTCAGATGCCAGGGGTCTCTGTAGTGTCAGTGTTTAACAGAAACTAACTCCATAATGAATGGAATTCAATTCCACACATGGTTTGTTCAAGCACACTTACTTAATAAGTAGCCTGTTTTTTAAATGTCTTTTTTAAATGTAAATATTTGAAGTTTTTATTTGTTTTGATATATTAATTTGCTACACCAACTATGGTTTCAGAATTCATCTTCTGAACAACTTGGTTCCAGAGTCTGTAAAATGAACTGAGAATCTTGTGTATTAAACCTGTCACTGGGACATGTGAGAATAATGTGTTCATAAAGCATGGATCTCACCTTGGTTGTGCAGCTGCATCATTCATTCCATGGTCTTACGTAGTAAGTGACTTTGTAAGACTGTTCCTGCCCCCTTGAAGAGGGAAATGGTACCTCCAAAGTAGAAGCCTGAGGAAAACAGAAATCAGAAGGAAAGGATCATTGACTTGACTCTAGTGAAGTTTTTCATTTTAAATACGCTTCAGAGAATAGTGACTTTGATAGGAGGAAAAGGCAAATTTAGATCTTAAAAAAAAAAAAATTTAAAAAGCCACTGCCCTGAAGGTGTATTTGCAGTTCATGAGCCTGGAAGTGTGTTTTGGCTCTGTTGGGAAGAAGCAGACGGTGGTGATGTGATGTTGAGGCCTCTCCTTAATGACTGGTGCTATTTTGGAGGTACAGGACTACACAAATGTTAACAGTATGTGAGGCCCTTATATAGCATTCATCTTTAGTGGTACAATGATATCCATACCCTTGGGATGAAGGAAAATTTATTTGGCTAGAGCATTTAAATAACGTAATTTGTTTTTTAACCAATGAGCTTGGCAGTACACATCATTTCTGCAAGATTTTGATAAATTACACCGTTGCATTTGAAGACATTTCCAGATACACTTGAAGTAATTTACCACAGTTTTGGATGGCATCATTTATAAGCTGTAAAATGAATAAATTTGCTCTAATTTTATTAAATAAAATCTTACTTTTCTTTGGACTAGTATCTCCAGCTTAGTGAAGAGCAACCTGACACATAAACAAGACCCTGGTTATTCAAGTGAGTGGAATGTAGGTTCTGTTGTCAGGCTGATCTGTATCTGTAAGATCATCATCCTTAGAAGAGAAAAGGAGGGAAGAACAAAACTTGGGGACTGAACATCTAAATAATTTCTTCAGGACTCTTACTCCTTTTTCATGTCCACAAAAGGCTGGACTTAAATAGTAGTTAATTACATAACCTGAAGTTTTAGAGTTTTTTTTCTTTGAGATTTTGGAATCATAAAGGAATATGATCAGGGTTTGGGTACCATTTAGCTGCTTTTTTATTTTTTTTTAAGGCAGTAGGAAAGGAACTCATTTATTAAACGTCAGCCATGTACTGTGTTCCACTGGGCCTTTCCACCTATCGGCTCACAAACCTTCACAACAACCACTGAAAGAAGGTGATACTGTTCATTTTATACACGTGGGAAAACCCGAAACCTCTGAGTTTAAGAAGCTTGTGCGAGGTTTCGTACTGACTGGACTCAGACCCGTCTTACTCTGGATCTTACACACTCTCTTCCCTGCACCAGGTTTAAGATGGAGACTTTATGAAACCAGGCATTCGGGCAGCTTAAACAAACACTTGGTTTTCTAGAATCCAGCAACTAGCAAGTTCAAATAACCGCATGGTTATTTCAAAATCACGGTTAAAAACATTTTCTTCAAGGTGGCTTTTCTAGTTTGATTGAATTTTCAAGGACTGAAAGACTCACCTTCGTGTTAGAGGTGAGAGGGATGAGCTCCCTGTTCTTGGGCTACACACACACAGGGGGATGGAGCTGGGAAGCGGGTTAGGCATCTGTCGAGTCTTCCTGTTCAGACAGCGGTTTCCCTCAGTAGGGCAGAGTGGAGCATTGAAAAGGAAACCTAGCATCACCTGGAGAACACAGGAAGGACAGCCCTTATTTAAAGTTCAGAAATCACAGCCAGAGATGATTTGGCTGGGCCCTTCTTGATCCCCTGCTGCCCCTCACGTAGGTTTCTGTTACGGTACCTGTGAACGATTGATCACCTCATCCCGTCTCGTTGGCCTGTCTGCTGGGCCGTGATCTTTGTCTTGCTGGCCTTTTGTCCCCGGCTTCTAGCTCACAGCCCTCACGTGGAAACCTAACGCAAGGGTTTGAAGAAGACAAGAAAACGTGGGCCAGTGTTCACTGGCCCTCTTCCAGAGGACTGGACTCCTGATAACCCAGTATCTACTGTTGGCAGTTCTGTGAGGTTGAACAGAGAGAGCTGGGGTCGTGTGTGGTGTGCTGGCCTGGGGATCAGGACGGAGTCGGCCCTGGCCAGGAACCAGTGGTGACGGTGAGAAGGCAGCTCATCTCTGGCGTCTCGGTGTGTTTTTTTACATTGAGAAATACCTGGAAGTCCCAGTTTGATTCGTACCTTTGCCTAATACAACGTTAAGTGATTTTTCTTCTTAAATCTAGTTTACTTAGCAAAAAGAAATAGGACTGAGGTGTCGAATGGACTCGTGTCGGTCTGCTTGGGTTCAAATCCCAGCTCCCTCTTCTGAGTTGGAGGCACTGGGCTTCAGCCTGGGGTGCCTGACCCCCGGGGTTACCAGGTGCCGAGGACACGGCCTGGCACGTGGGTGAGTGCTGCCACGAACGCCGTGTTGCGGGAACAGCCTGTGCAGCGCGCAAGGCAGGTGCGGGTGGTGCCTTCCGGGCTTCGTTGTGGGGTGATGGTTAAACCGGACCGAATAGAAAAGTGAAACAGTATTCGTCTTTAATGAAAGAGTAAACGCCTTAAGATGGACATGTAAGGGGGCCAGCTCTAATAATGGGTCTACTAATGAACCAGCGTTACGGGGCTGCCCGGGGCGTTAGAGCCTGCACACGCAGCTCCCCGAACACTTGGGGAGGCTGCCCACGTTCCAGTGATGCCATCGCCCGCCGTTCAAACAACATTTATGAAACGCCTGTCAGAATTTCTTACAGCCTCAGACTGAGCCACCCAAAGATAATCGGTCTGGACGTTTTTTCAGAAACCCATTGGTCCGATCATCCATCTGAATCACATTTGTCAAAATAGGTGCTCAGGCTCTAAAAGCACATTAGGAAGGAGTGTGAGAACGTGCTGGCGGGGAGCGGCGCTTGGGGAGCGGATGCGCGTCAGGTCGCCACGCTTCCTCTTCCGCACGCCTTCTTGTTCATCCGCCCAGCCCGCCGGCTCCAGTCCGGATCCTGCAGATGGGCTGCACCGTGGGGGGACGCACAAGGTACCTTACCGGGTTCTGGTCGCGCCACGTAGGATTTGCTTGGTAGTTCCTCTCTGAGGTAGGTCCCTTCGGTGAAAGTCAGGGTACCTGTCAAGCGTACGGGACCGCCCGGCCGCCGGCTCGGGTCTCCCGAGTACGCGCCGCCATTGCCCGCGGGGCAGGGTCCTCGGCGCCCCGGAGAGCGGGCAGCAGGCAGCAGGCCTGCGGCCCCTGTGGCGCCGGGCACTTCAGTGTCAGAGTTGCAGTACTTTCCAGTCTTGCGTGACTTTCTCATCCTGCTCATGACCGAGTGACCGTCTCACAGTTAAAGCACCGCTACGTTTTTAAAATGTGCCCCTGCGAGGGGTGGCCTCTGTCCCCACGGAGTGGAAGCTTGACCCGGAGCAGCTGAGGCTGCCATCCTGAAGCTGCAGGGTGCACGGTGGCGCGAGGGTGGCTCCAGTGGGGGACCTGCCTTCGTCCCATTCCTCCCGGACAGCACACCTGGTGGCGCCTGAAGACTCTCCTTTCAGGGACCAGCGGCGAGAGGCCGTGGCCGCCCCGCCGTGTCTGTGCCTCGAGGGCTTTCCCGCGCCCGCTGCCCGGGGCGCCTCTGTTCCTGGCACCAAGTCCCGTCTGCAGCTCCTCGGGAGACTCCCGACCTGGCCTCCGTCCCCTCGTCCCGGCTTCTGTCCTCCCGTGCCCCTGGGCGGAGACCTTCCCGTCCAGAGTCCGGCGTGTCCTCTTGCCCCTCTGGCTGTTCCGGTTCCGGTCCTCCTGGGCTTCGGGCTTCCCCTTCACTGGGCCTTCAGTCTTCTGCTTTTCAACCCAGCTTCTGCCCCAAAGGCCTCTCCTGGGATCCCTGCTCCCTCCTCGCCAGCCTGTGCGTGTCCGCTCCCCGGGCCTTGAGCTGTGCGTCTAGCCCCTGGACGCCGGCCCTTGGATCCCCCCTGCCCTTCTAACTGCCCGTGATTCACTTTCACTTAAATGTTTTTACCGTAACCCCAAACCGACAAGGCACAAGGCACAGATAGGTTTATTTCCTCCATGAATCTCTCCATCTGACTTCTTGTCCTTCTTCAGTAACATGACTCCTGTTTATCCAACATTAAATCTTCAAGAGGCCCACCAGGTACAGTGATTTGCCCTTTAAGTATTTAATACATTCTTACTAATTCACCTCTGCTATGAATTAAATTAGATTTCAGTTCTCTCCATTTCAAAATCTTAACAACTTAAGAACTTTAAAGAAGTCCGAATCTATTCAGTATAGGCAAAAATACCGCTGGTTCAAAAGCCTCCCTTCTTTTTACATCTTCTACTGCGCTGCAAGAGGTCTTGGGTGTTTGCTATTTTAATTCTAGCGGGCAGTGTATTTTAGTCAGGCTGTTTATGACAAAACGTTCTTCTGCAGTGTGGGTTTTATCTGGTGACTGTGAGAAAGTTATCTGGCCACCTTTAGGACTGACTAGTTAATGAAACATTTGAGAAAAGTTCCTGCTCAGTGAGTTATCTGGAAATCAGTTTTTCCAGTTTGGTAAACCCAAGAACACCCTTTTTTCTTGGTTATTTCCATTGGTCCAACCTACTGCCTAAACTCGTCTTCAGACGCATCTTTTTTTAAAAAAAATTTATTTTTGGCTGCGTTGGGTCTTCGTTGCTGTGCGTGGGCTTTCTTTTTAGTTGCGGTGAGCGGGGGCTACTCTTCATTGCCGTTTGCGGGCCTCTCACAGCGGTGGCCTCTCTCGCCTTGGAGCACCGGCTCTAGGTGCGCGGGCTCTAGAGCGCAGGTTCAGTAGCTGTGGCGCACGGGCTTAGCTGCTCCACGGCACGTGGGATCTTCCTGAACCAGGGCTCAAACCCGTGTCCCCTGCATTGGCAGGCGGATTCCTAACCACTGCGCCACCAGGGAAGCCCCTAAACGCATCTCTTTATTTGCATATCCCTAATTAAGGCTGATCTTGAAAGGATTTGCGTTCAATACAAAAAGATTTGTAAAGCGCCAGTGCATTTTACTGCTACGTCTTCGTCTTTGCGAAGCACAAAGTGCATCTAAAATATTAAGCAAAGAAAGGAAGCTACGATCTTGATCTTAATTTCCCTCTGGAATTTGTATTTAGACATTTCAAGTAACAAGTTTTGTCTTAGAATGAAGAAGATTTAAGATGAGCTTTACATGTGCTGTTTGGCTGTGAGCTCTTTAGACTTTTCAAATGATGGTCATAAGACACCCCCCCGACACACATACATACACACACACACGTGTGCGCATATTAAGTTTCGGTTCCCAGTAATTAGAGACTGCATACTCTGACCGTTTAAACGTTTTTAAGTAGGCAGAGATGCCTCTTTGATTTAACTTCATCAGTATATCACTGAGTCAGTACCGAACATTTCCTTCTTTTCATGATTTTGTTGTAAGTGGTAGAGCTGAATTAATGTGTTCTTCATAGAAACAGGAACTTTGGATTAGAAGCTGTGCATAGTCTGTGCATACTCTGTGCATTATCTGTGCATAACTATGTAATATTTTTAGTCTTTGCTGAAAGGAAATGAATCAAAAAATATTAGGGCAGTGAGAACCAGCATTTTAATTTCTCCTCTACAATATGCTTGAAACACTCAGTATTCAGTAAATTTCAGATTAGTCCAGAGTCTGAAAAGAAATACACAAAATGCTAGAGCAGCTTTTGTGGTAGAGTGGTGGATTTTTTTTTCCTTTTCAAAGTGTTTGTAATGTGCTTATATTTTAGAATGGAAGAAATATAAGTGTTAAATTTATTTGAGCCTCCTACGATGAGTATAATAATCGCGATGGCTGTGGGCAGCTTGGCTGTAGCCCAGAAAGAAAGTGAGCCCATTCGAAAACTTAAGATGTTTCTGTCGCTTTACATACTCAGAGAAAATCAAGACAGATTGGTAGAAAATCCTCAAAAGATGTTTCCTTGGACGGCACCCAGGTTTGCTTCTCATCTGTTACGCCTTCACATTAATAAACCACCTGCATCTCCATCTGGGCCTGTGCCAGCCTGTGCTCGGCACTGCCGGCCCTCCCAGCCCTGGTGCCCACACGGCCCCACCCCCCGCCGTGGCAGTGACTCCCTCTGCCCAGACGCCCCCCTGCATCGGCGCTCCCCGCAGCCTTCCGTCGTCAAGGGCGCCTGCCTCCCGACGCCTCGCACCACCCTGGGCGTCGGCCTCGTCCCTCCCCGCTCCCTGGCCCTTCTGCTGCCCGTCACCCCCTTTTCGAAGCTTAAGCTTCGTGACAGCAAGAATTTCCAGTTACTGGGTCCCCAAGCCTTGGGATGGTACCTGGCATGTGGTAGGTGTTTAATAAATACGAGCTAACCTCACAGCCCTGCAGTGACGTAGGTAACACCCCCGTCTTACAGATGAGGAAACAATGTACGAGTCCAATGACGTACTGAGACGCGGTTGACTGAAGTGGCAAAGCTGAGACTGGAACGCAGGCTGGTCTGTGTCCAGAGCCTTCACAGAATTCTGTTGCCTCCCTCGTAATACAGAGGTTCTCTTGGTGGCCGCCCAGTCCCCATTCACTGAAAACCCTGGAGAAAGGGGGTCGACTTGCCGGCCTCATGTGCGCAGTGAGGATTCTAGGGAGGGACCGGGGCTGCAGCTCCACCAGGAGGCATTTACCAAACAGAGCCAAGGAAACTGGCAAGCGAGCGAGTGCCCAGGAGTTGCCGGGAAGGTGGCTCAAGTGAAATCCCGTGGGCGAGTTCCAGAACAAGGAAGTGAAACAATAGGGGTGTCACAGCCGAGCTTCACACAGTCAAGTTAGTTCCCCAATCGTGACTGAACTGTAACCTTAAATAGTTTTCGTTAAACGTATAATCCAAGCTTGGCAAATTATGTCAAGTTGAGACAATGAGATAAGCTATCA